AAAAAAAGTATCAAAAAATTTTGTCTTTTAAGTAAAATAGGTCAAAAACAATTTTGTCATCAAATTTTAATTTTGTACCCCGAAACCCAAAATAATTTCGTCAGCATGTATAGGTACAACTTTTTTGGACACACTATGGGGTTGTTAATGATTGTCACAACTAATGCTAAAATTTGAACTAGAATTTATAATTAAAATATATATATAGATTTTAGCAAGACTTATATTTTCAAATCGAGTTCCCAAATTTTAGCATCAACAGTAACGATAATTATTGTTTTCACAAGTTGACTACTAAAAAATTTCGGTCAAAACAGCTTTATAATGTAATAACAAAAATTACAAATTTAATAGTTGTTGGAAATAATTTTATAATCTGCTTACAGAATTTTTCAATAAATATATAAAATAATAGATAACAAGAAATTCATGATCGTAAATAAAATCTTAGTTATTATTAATATACGCTTTCGTATTATTGATAAATCTGTTGCTAAAAAACATTTTAATGTTGAGTTAGCATGAAGGTAAACAATTATATACCTAAAATTATTCTTCTATATAGCAGATAGGTATCCTTCACAGATTCTATAGCCACCACAATATTGGCTTTGACTTTTACAACTGAAATTGTGATAATCACTACAATATTTTTTACCGTTAATCAAAAATTGCTCAAAAGTTCAAGATTCATATGACTTTCTTCAGATTGTTTTTGACTTAGTTCAGTAATAGACAACTCCCTATTAATAATTAATAATTGTCAATATATATATATACACATGTTTAACAATCTTTTAAAGAAAAAAATTGCTAACAGGCTACTAGATTCTTGTTATTCCAATCGATCTATTATTTCACAAGAAATGTTGTTAAAGAAAGATTTGACCTTATCATAGTAGGTCTTAATGAGTGGCATTAAAACATTATTTTTCACCTCTTTTGGATCAAATTCAATACCATCTATACAACTTTTATCTTTAAGATCATGGTTAGAAGTAATACTAACCTCTTTGACAAGGTTTTTTTTGTTGCACTTGGCATTTGACGTTTCAAAATTAAAATCTGATTGCACAACAGAAATTCTACTACAATTATAACTTTGGTCATAGTTTCTTCTGACATAACCTCTACTACTTTGTTGGCCACTTCTTCTAGTAAATCAGTTATTGCCTGGTATTAAACAATTGTTACTTGTAACTATTATTGGATATAATTAAATTAATATTAAAATATATATTTGATTAAAATTTCCAAAGAAGAAAAGCCAATTTAAAGACCAACTCTGTACAAGATTTATAGTTAATCCTGCAAAATTGATGCTGCGAAGTATGCCTACGAAACATATATCAGGTCTTGATATGAGACTAATCATATGCCCAATATATTTAATACTGCTTATCTTTGTCCTATACTAAAAGCATTAATATTGATAGTAGCCTATTTTGTTAACAAAATTTCTAGGAAAAGTACTAATTTACCTGATATTTCTAGCAAATAACAGCACTATTACACAATACACCATGATATATATTAGAAAGTTTTTAATTTTACATGTGGTTTGCACAATCTTCGTAAACAGCCATATTAATGATTGTAGCAAATCATAATGAAATCCAGATTAAAATGAAATTATAATATAAAATTTCAGAAAATAAAATTTTTGGAGGTGTATTTTTTAGGGATAGGAGTTAGGGTTAGGGTTAGTTTTAAAGTAAAGCTATAATAAACAAGTATAAGTAGGTTTTAGAAGGTTAACAGGTTGAGTAGAAAATATAGATTTTATTTTAAATTATGATCTGTGACAATGATTATCCAGAATATGCAAAGTACAAACTAATGATAGTAAAACCATTCAAGCTCAAACACCTCTTTCACATCAGTAGTCAGAGCTGTGAGAAATAACAAGAATTTAAAAAAAAAAAGTTTAGAAATTGGGTTCAAATAAATTTTTTTTACATTTATTTGATTTTATTTCATTTTATCTTTTTTATTTATTTATATATATATTTTGGAATTTATTTTTATTTTATTATTATTTTTATTTTATTTTTTTTTTCATTATTTTTAAAAAATTTTTTAATTTTTTTTCATTCTTTTTTTAGCTTCCAATTTTTACTTTAATTTTCTGAAATATATTGTAATAGTAATATTTACAAACACCAACTTAGAAATATAACAATGATAAATATTGAAGTTGCAACTTCAAGCACCTAAAATCGCATCTGCCCGAAATTACTAACCAGAATATCTAATTTCAGGGGCTAACTTCAGTTAATACAACTTCAAGTGCCTGATGTTGCAACTTCAAGCTCAACAGATATACCAATTAAAGATCTTTATATCTTTTAAATTAATACAAAAATAAAATTAATAAGAGAAACAGTATAATATTAAGTAAATATATTGAATGTTATTGTCAGAATCAAAATTAAGTTCAACATGTTTAATAGCATAATTTAATATGCTATTCAATATTATCATATGACTTCATGAACATGCATATTCATAAAATTATTTAATGCTAGATGGTATATTGAACAACATTCTAATTACATTATTCAGCATGTTGAACTTTTAATTTTTTTTTTTTGAATATTAATAGTGAGACCATGTCTCTAACTTTATTAAAATTTAATTTGATTCTTCTACAATGAA